TGAAAATAGAACGAGCCTCTTGCAAGTAGAGGGAAATGCCTGTGCAAAGGCCCTGAGGCTGACAAGGGCCCAGGTATGACTGAGGCCAACAAAAAGACTATGTGATGGATGCTGGGGACAGAGTGGGTAAGAGACAGGAGGCACAGTGGAAAGGAGGGCAGGGCCAGCTCAGGAAGTACTGGGCATCAGCATCACCACATGTCTTCCTTTCTTCATACCCATTTGTCTGTCTGTCTCCATTCCCCTTGCCATGATTACCTCCCCCTAGGTTAATGAAGCCGGCCCAAACTGGGGCCCCCTTCTCTCTCCACCCCTGCCCTCTCAACTCCCCCAATACACTCAGTTCCTCAGAGATGCCAACAGAAGCTCATGACTTTGTGGGGTAAGCAACCTGAGGTCAGCACTAGGTCCCCTCTAGGTCCCTAGGGCCCAGTGCTGGAGCTGCCACAGAACAGGGTTTTGGACACAGTCCTGGGAATAGCCCAAAGACTCCTTACCCAGCATCAGACCCCAAAGCCCTGGCTGGCGTTTACCATGCACTTGATGTGTGCTCAGCCCCTTGCACAGTCTGCAGGTGGCAACATTCTTGCTTACCTGGCAGAGAAAGAAACTGAGGCACTGGAAGCACCCGTGACTTGGGGAGGGAGGGTGGGAAGTCCAGCCTGGGAGACCCAGGAACCTTAATCACCACCTCCCTGCTGGCCTCTCGGAGCTGAAGGGCAGCTGCGGCAGCTGGAGCAGGACTGGCCCAGGGCCATCGCCCCCCATGGGCCTGGTAGGGAGGGGGAGGAGGAGAGAATGGCCTCTGTGTAGGGGAGGCCTCAGTCAAGGTCAAAGTCCAGCTGTCAGGAAAACAGCTGGGGGAGGGGTTGGCCAGTCACCCAAGGGCCAGCTCTGGGGCCCTGTTGCTGCCCCCCAGCACACACAGATGGAGGGGAGTACAGCAACCCAGCCCCACCCACCAGCGTGGTCCAGGCTTCCCAGCGGGCAGCTGCTCTCCCAGCAACACTAGGGGCGGCCTCAGGGCCTCCCTGGAGGCGGCAGCCCCGCCCTCCGCGACTAGCCCCGCCCCCAACGCCCGCAGCAGGGAGGAGTTTGGAAACAGGTGCGGGAAGCTCAGGCGGGCAGGAGGCTCCAGGCCACACCTGGGACCGGCCTCTGGCCTACAGCAAACTCAGGCCAAATATCACGCCCAAGGCATGTCACAGTTGCTGCACTGTGCACGCATGTGTCTGTGAACATGTGCGTATATGTGTGTCTGTGTGTGTGACTCTGCACGTGGGTGGTGTGTGTGTATGCACAGGTATGTGTGCTCACACATGACTCTGGAGCCATCTGCGCATCTGAACACATGCATACAAGTAAGTGTGCATGTGCTGGCTTGTGGCCCAGGCTTGTCGCTGCCAGTGTGCACACCAGTGGGCTAGGTGGGCCGCACCCTGCCCCCAAGCACACCGGGTGCCCACACTGGCACCAGAAGACCTTGAAGAATGTTGCCTCCTGTTCAAATGAGAGTTACTGGGCACCCACCATGTACAGGAATGGAACTCGGGACAGCAACATTCCTGCCCTCAGGTAGCTTATGTGCAGGAAGGGGGGACCCACAACCACCAGGACTACGAGAACAGAGAATGGGCCGGCAGTGTTCTCAGCACTTCCCATCTCATTTCATCCCCATTTCACTGATGCGAAAACTGACGCACAAAGTATCAAGTAACCTGCCCGCCTCCCACATCTAGTAAATAAGCTGGTGAAATACACAGTACATCCGACAGTGGAAAAGCTATGGAGGAAAAGCAAGCAGGGGAGGGGAGTGTGCGTAAAGGGCTGTATTTTTAAAGCAGGTGGTCTCAGATGAGCAGCTGGCCATTATCCCTCTTAACTAGTCGGCACCCCTAGGTTCTGAAGAGTGCCCAGCCAGGAGAGGAGACCCAGGGCCTAAAGGTGGGGAAGCCAGGAAGCCACTCCCACCCTGCCTGTCCCCAGGGAAGGGTGGGTCACCAGGGCCTTTACCCTGGGAAAGGGCAGAGAAGGGGGCCTCATCCCAAAATAGCCTGGGAATTTTCCACAGGCCACGCAGTCCCTCCTGGAAGGTTATGAGAGTTCCACCAGGCACCAGGCGCCTCCTTGACCCACCCACATATCTGGGGGCTGGAGATCCAATTCTGCAAATCTCTTATTAATCCCCCTCCTGCCTTCTTGGCCTAAAAGCCACCAGCCACATCAAGGAAAAGTCTGTCTTGAGCCAAGGAGCCAGCTGCTTCCTGCAGGGAGGAGAGCCTTGGCAGTAGTGCTGTCAGTCATTTACACTTTAGTGAGAAGGATTTTGCAGTTCATTTCACAAGGATCCATTCTTGGTAGCTTTCAGATCCTTGAGAGCACAAAGACAGGTGAACAAGATCTGGGTTCAAATTGGGAGCTTCATTCTCAGCATGGTTCTCATCAAAGCCAAACTTCACCAAGCCTATTTTTTTTAAATATCTAAGCTCCCCACTCTGAAAAGGGGGGTGTCTCAAGCTTTCCCTGGGTTTCTGGCTAGCAAGGTGAGGACTGGGCACCATGTTCAGACACTTCCCACCCCGGGGCCAAGCTACTGCTGGCAGGTGAGGTGAGTACTAGCCCACACAAAGGGAAGGGGACAGGGCACTGGAGAACCAGTCATGGGGAACAGG